TGTGTTGAACTCCTGAGCTAAAGCAGTCCACTTGCCTCATCCTCCCCATGTGCTGGGGTTACAGGCGTAAGCCTTGGCACTGGCCCAATGTACCACTTTTTTTTTGAGATTTCTTTTGGCTATGTTAAGTCCTTTGCTTTTCATGTGAAATTTGGGAATAGGCAGGGTGTGGTGGCTTACACCTGTAATCCTAGAACTTTGGGAGGCCTAGGTGGGTGGATCACTTGAGCTCAGGAGGTCCAGACCAGCCTGGGCCCGTGGTAAAACTCCGTCTCTACAAAAAATATAAAAAATTAGCTGAGTGTGGTGGTGCATGCCTGTAGTCCCAGCTACATGGTGGGCTGAGGTGGGAGGATCACTTGAGCCCCAGAGGTCAAGGCTGCAGTGAGCTGAGATCACACCACTGCACTCCAGCCTGGGCGACAAAGTGAGACTCTCTCTCAAAAAGAAATTAGGATCAACTTGTCAATTTCTACAACAAAAATCCCTGTTAGCACCTTGATTGAGATTGCATTGAATTTATATAAAAATGTTGGGAGAATTGACATCTTAGTGATATTGAGTCTTCCGGACTATAAACAAGGTCTGTCTTCCCATGTATTAATGTTTCTGTCTTCTATTTCTCTTAATAATCTTGTAGTTTTCAGTGTACAGGTCTACCATGTCAGCGTTTCATAGTTTTGATGCTAAATGGTATTTTAAAATTTCAAATTCTGCTTGTTGCTAGTAAATAGAAGTACAATTGATGTTGAACTTGTATCCTTCAGCCTTGCTAAACTGTGAGTTCTCATGGTTTTTTTGTAAATTACATCAACAGTCATGTGTTCTATTAATAAAGAGTTTTACTTCTTCCTTTCTAATCTGAATGCCTTTTATTTCTTTTTCTTGCCTGATTGCATTGGTTAGAACTTTCAGTGGAGTACTAAATATATGTGGTCAGAGAAGAGCCCCCCATCTTGTTCCTGATCTAAGAAGAAAAACAGTCTTTCATTATGATGATGTTAGCTCTTAAGGTGTTTGTAGATGCCCTTTATTGGGGTGAGGAAGTTTCCTCCTATTCTTAGTGATATGGTTTGTCTGTGTCCCTACCCAAATCTCACCTTGAATTGAAATATTCCCACATGTCAAGGGCAGGGCCAGTCGAGATAATTGAATCAAGGGGGTGGTTTCCCCCATACTTTTCTGGTGTTAGTCAGTAAGTCTCACGAGATCTGATGGTTTTATAAATGGGAGTTCCCCTGGACACACTCTTTTGCCTGCCAGCATGTAAGACGTGACTTTGGTTCCTGTCCATTTGCCTTCTGCCGTGATTGTGAGGCCTCCCCAGCCGTGTGGAACTGAGTCAATTAAACCTCTTTCCTTTTTAAATTACCCACTCTCCAGTATGTCTTTATTAGCATGAGAACAGACTCATACACCTAGTTTACTGAGAATTTTTTTAAAAATCAGAAATGGATGCTGGATTTTGTCATATCTTTTTTCTACATCTGTTGAGATGGTTTTGTCTCTTAGTTTGTTAGTCTGGTGAATTACAGTGGCTGATTGATCGATTGAGTTTTCAGTGTTAAACCAACCCTGCATTCCTGGCATAAACCACACCTGGTCATGATATATTATCGTTTTTGTAGGATTTTATTTGAAATTTTTTTGTAGAATTTTTGCATCAGTGTGCATGAGAAAGATTGGTCTGTGGTGTTCTTGGGAAAATAGTCCCTCCTTTTCAATTTTTTGGAAGAGTTTTCTAAATAGAAAAAAAAAACGTTCTGTCACTCAACAACACAGAAGACTTCTGTGACCAAATGTGTGGGGGTTTTCCCCACATACCAAGCTCTGCAGTGGACACCAGGTGTGTCCTCTACTTCTACTTCAGTTCCAACACTACTTGGAGATAGTGTCAGATCCCACAGGCTCAGGGCTCAGTCCAAGACTGCCCTCCCTGCAGACACCGTCGCAAGTCTGGGCCTCTGAGATTCTGACCAACTAGCTTCAAGTTGGAGTTCCCATGATCCCCTCTTTGGATTCAATTAATTTGCTTGAGCAGCTCATGGAACTCAGAAACACTTAAGCTTACTGGTTTATTATAAAGGATATGGTACAATATGCAGGTGAAAGGATCCCAATGGAAGAGGTACATAGGGGAAGATGTGGGGAAGGCACATGGAGCTTCGATGCCCACCACCCTCCAGGAGCCTCCATATGTTCAGCAATCCGGAAGCTCTCCAAACCCTGTCCTTTTGGGCCTTTTATAGAAATCTCATTAGATAGGCATGATCGATAACCAAGCAGAGAAATGATTGGACAAAAAGGGTATGATCTAATGCTCATAGTCTGAGTGGCGCCATCCAGCCAGGCCCGTCTGCTCAGGTTCTTAGCCTCTGCTGCAGTCCTTCTTTCAGAGTATGGGGCAGCGCCCCTTCCTATCAGAGAATTTCTTTACAGCCAGCTCCAAGCCAGAAAGGCAGGAAGATTCTTGCCGGGGAGAGAAAAAGAAGCAGATGAAAGGAGGGCAGAAGGGCAGAAAGAGAGATTGTCTTCCCTGAGGCCTAAAATGCCCCAGCATTACAACAAAAGACTGCAACGAAAGCCATGGGAGTTATGAACAAGGAGCCATGGATGAAACCAATATATCTATCATACGTTTTACATACATGGTATTATTTATTTCTTACATGTTTACAGAATTCATATTTAAGCCATCTGGGCCTGAAGTTTCTTTGTGGGAAGGTTAACCACAGTTTTGGCTTAATAAATACATGGCTATTTTGGTTATCCATTTTTTTCCCAAATGAGCTTTGGCAATTTATGTATTCTCCATTTTATCTAAGTTACTAAATTTATTTATATAAAGTTGTTCATGAGCTGGGCACAGTGGCTCACGCCTGTAATCGCAGCACTTTGGGAGGCCAAGGCAGGAGGATTACTTGAGCTCAGGAGTTTGAGACCAGCCTGGGCAACATAGTGAGATGTCAGGAAAAAAAAAAAAATTGCCAGGTGTGGTGCTGTGCACCTGTGGTCTCAGCTACTTGGGAGGCTGAGGCAGGGGTTGGAGGCTGCAGTGAGCTATAATCATGCCACTGCACTCCAGCCTAGGCAACAGTGAGACCCTGTCTCAAAAAATAAAAGTGTTCTTCATAATACTGCCTTATGATGCTTGTATGTCTGTAGATTATAGTGATATCACCTGTAGTGGATATCACTTCTCATTTCTGATATAAGTTTTTTTTTCTTTTATTCTGACTGGACTAGAAGTTTATCAGTTTTACTAATCTTCTGAAAGAACGTGCCTTTGGTTTACTTTCTCTATTTGTTTTCTATTTCAAGGGTCAACAGATGTTTTCTGTGTATTAGGCTTTCTGGGCCACATGAGCTGTTACAGCCGCTCTGTGTTACTGCTGGAGCATGAAGCAGGCATAGGGAATTGGGTGTAGGGAATCTGTGACTGAGTGTGGCCGTGCCAACCAAACCTAACACAACCGCTCTAGCCTGCAGCATGTCATGGCCAATCTGTTCTGTTCCTTGATTTCTGCTTTGATCATCGTTTTCTTTTGACTTTGGGTTTAATTTGCTCTTCTTTGTCGAATTATTTAAGGTGGAAGCTGAAGTCGTTGACTTGAGGCCTTTCTTCTATTCTAAGCTGGGTGTTTGGTGCTGTGACTTTTCCCCTAAGTAATGCTTTCACTCTAGCCCACAAATTTTGATATATTGTGTTTTCATTTCCATTCAATCCAGAATATTTCCTAATTTCCCCTTTTATCTCTTCTTTGCCTCATGGGTTATTCAGCAGTATGTTGTTTCCACATATTGGGGGATAGATTTTTTTTTTCAGGGCACATGTAATAATTTAATTTTTAAAAATTTTTCACTTTACCTCATTTTTTTTTATTTTTTATTATACTTTAAGTTCTAGGGTACATGTGTACAACGTGCAGGTTTGTTACATATGTATACATGTGCCATGTTGGTGTGCTGCACCCATTAACTTCATCATTTACATTAGGTATATCTCCTAATGCTATCCCTCTTGCCTCCCCTCACCCCACAACAGGCCCCGGTGTGTGATGTTCCCCTTCCTGTGTCCAAATGTTCTCATTGTTCAGTTCCCACTTATGAGTGAGAACATGCGGTGTTTGGTTTTCTGTCCTTGAGATAGTTTGCTGAGAATGATGGTTTCCAGCTTCATATTGCGGGACAGATTTCTAATTTAATTCCATTGTGGTCACAGTACATACATTGTATGGCTTGAATCTTCGTACATTTTTGAGATTCGTTGGCCTGGAATATGGTCTGTCTTGGTAAGTGTTCAGCTGCATTTGCTTCTGCTGGTGTCGTGTGGTGGGTTCTAGATGTCAGTAGATCGATAATGTTGTTCAGGTCTCCTGGTTACTCCAATGTTGTTACTCCAGCCTCAGACAGAAAAGCCCAAGTGAATGAATAAGTGTACTCCTCAATGAGTTTTGACAAATGCATACACCCGTGTAACACAAACTGTATTGGGACTTGTATTTTAATAACTGGTAGAACTAGTCCCCATACATTGCTCTTCTTTCTTCAGAGTTCTCCTAATTGTTTTGTTTGCTTATTTAGTTTATATGTAAAAACTTTAGAATGTCTTGTCTAATTCTGGGGTTGATTGGGGCATGGAACATCTGTATTTTTATTGGGACTAATTACATTTATCAGTAAACTCTGAAGAACCAGTCAACTTCATGTTGCCAAATCTTCCAAAGAAACGAACTTTCCATCTGTTCCAGGCTTTATCTTTCCACAGTGTTGTGACATTTTTCTCCTGCAGAAAGGAGAAGACATGCCAGCTTTGGGATGGCGGATGCCCCAGGAAGAGGGCGGACGCTGAGAACAGAACAGGCTCCGGCCCTCCACAGTGCTGTGGCAGGATATTATTCTTACTACATATGTTGATGGACACATGGGTGTTTCTTATATAACTATTTTCCTGTATGTTTGAAATATTTTATAGTTTAAAAAATTAACAAACTTAGAAGTCAATTTTAATAGGAAAGAATTTATTGCAAATACAGTGACTTTTTATATTACAGCAGTACATTCCAGTCAGCCATATGGCCATAATTTGTATACATTTCAAATATAAAACTATACTTTTTTTTTTTTTACATATAGTACAATTTCCAGTGTGATGACATTTCAATGGGAAAAAGATTGTGCATTTGCAATAAACACCATCATCCCTGAGTCCACAGATAAGGTCCCTGGAGAAGGGGCTTCCCCTCTTTTCTTGCTGGGTTGACGTTCCCAGCGAGTGAAGCCTTTCTGGAATGTGTGTACACACCCGCCACCAAGCGTTCTAATAACCTAAGCTCAAAGCAGAACAGTGAAATGGCAAAACTGTACAGAGCCCTGATTTTACATTTCAATCTGACAGCCGGCTCAGAAGTGCCACATGGAAAGTGTTGTCCTTAACTGCTCACTTAGCTGCTCCTTGCTGACAGCTCCCAGAATCTGCCTCCAACAAGTGGCAAAACGGGGAATTTTGCCAAGGAAAATTACTCAGGACCGCTAATAAAAACGCAGGCTTTTTCAACATGCATATTCCCCCAGCCCCCGACCCCGATCTTGCCCAGGGCAGGGCATTAACTGTCTGGGGGGTGAACAAAGAATCCCAATCCTCAGATGTCCCAGGACTCATGGCTCATGACCCATGGAAAACTAAGGCATCACAGTGGCTTAATTTAAAAGATGTGCTTTCGAATGAATCCTGGAAAACAATCCGTCTTTACACAGAGAGGGCTGCGGGGGCAATCCTACTGACGAGTTTGTTGAGAGCGCGAACTTTTTCTTCCAAGATGCGGCTTTGTTTCTCGGCGCCTCGCTGCTTCTCCTCGGTGGCCTGAAGTGCTCTCACCAGGTGGGCATTCTCCACGTACAGCTCCTTCAGCAGCAGGTCGGACTTCGTGTTCTTTTCAAACTAGAGAGGGGAGGAAGCCAATACTTTGCATGAGGCCAGTGGAGAAACGCTACAGACCAGCCTGCTGTCTTTTATCCTCCCACATTTATGCAAACTATAGTTTTGGGCTCTTAGAAATCTGACCCAAGGCCGGGGGTGGGGGCTCACGCCTATAATCCCAGCACTTTGGAAGGCCGAGGTGGGTGGATCCCAAGGTCAGGAGATCGAGACCATCCTGGCTAACACGGTAAAACCCCGTCTCTACTAAAAAATACAAAAAATATTAGCTGGGCCTGGTGGCGGGCGCCTGTAGTCTCAGCTACTGGGGAGGCTGAGGCAGGAGAATGGTGTGAACCCAGGAGGCGGAGCTTGCAGTGAGCAGAGATCGCGCCACTGCATTCTAGCCTGGGCAACAGAACGAGACTCTGTCTCCAAAAAAAAAACAACTGACACAAATACTGCATTATAATAATAAGTTTTGTTACCCTGGCATGAGAGGAAATTGAGAATCTGCTGGGCTATGTGGTAGAAAAACTTGAGGCAGCTTTGTGCCATGAAACAAGGACTTCAGGGACTTCAGGCCAAAATGGACAGTCCTCAAAAGGCCCTGGGATGGTCGGAGTGTGGAATAGGTTCATCTGCGTGTGCTCTCCTGGCTGTGATGTCAGCAGGGCCATGAGCCAGGGGAAGCAGGGGAGGAAGCAGCCACAGGACAGGCAGTACTGAGGCCCCGAGCTGTGGCCTGGGCTTAGGGCGAGGGCAGGTGTGCAGGAGCCACAGGATTTAACCAGAAGTCAGGTGTTACTGGCCAGACAGGCAACTGAGGACTGTGGGTGTGTGCCAGGGAGAAAGGATGAGAGGGACTGGGGGCACCAGCAGGGGAGGGAGCTGGACAAGGACGGTGGCCCCAGGGAGGGACTGGGCACCTTCCACAAATGCCTTGTCTAGTTTGGGCTGAGCTCGGGATCCCTCACGTAGACCAAACCATACTGGATCACGATGGAGCACAAATACTTCTCCAAGTTTTCACATTTCTCTTAATATCTCCTAACAACTGAATGTGGTCCGCGGCCAGGCCTCTTCTGTGTGTGCACCCCACACCCGTGGGGTCCACCCACACCCTGTGCCATCAGCCCTCGGGGCACAGCACTGCCGCACGTCAGTTCCCACCTGCTGAGTTAGACTTCGAGCATCCATAGATCAGGTGAGCTGTGGCACCTCATTGTTGGTCTTTGCTCCTTATAGCAGCCCAAGTGACTTCTTCCCTAGTATGGTTTCTTTTAAAAGATAGATCTTGTCATGCTTTTACTTAAAATCTCCCAATGCCTTCTAACTGCCATTATGATAAAACCCAAACCCCTGACCTTGGCTTCCAGGACACACATGACAGGTGCTGCCTACCTGAGCCCTACCAGTTCACACCAGCCATGGCGACCTCCTCCATGGCTGTGCGCTGCCTGGAATGCACCCTCCTTGGGGTCCCCCAGACATAAGGAGATGTGTCCATCTCCCACCAAGTGAGCCTTCCAAATGCCACCTGGCCTCTGCCGGGGACACAGCTGGACCTTCCTGTGCTGGTCACTGGGCATCTGTCCAAATGCTGGCTCTTCAAAGTGGCCTTGACCACCCCACCGGCTCCCTCCACTTCTATTGTCTCATTTTCAGAGCATTCATCATGGCCCGAGGGCATGTATGCTCTATGGAAGCATCTACCTCTGTCTCCAGAGGGTCAGGTCCGGGATGTAGGCTCAGCCCTGCTCATCTCAGGTCTACCTAGAAAAGCCTCGACCGGAGGTGCTCGGGCACGCCCGAATGACTACAGGAACAAATGAACGGATGAGTCCTTTCTGAGTGTATGTGAACACCCACAGGACAGATCTTAAAACCATTCCCGAAGGAAAATAAATGCAATGCGCACCTGCAGTGTAGGGTATGCATTTAGTTCCCTGGACTTCCGTGACAAGACAGCCTTTTCCTGTATTAGCTGCCTGCACACCCATAAAAGTGGGGAGCGCTCAGAAGAGGACGCGAGCACGAAAGCAGCAGCACCCATCACTCACCTGCTCCTTCAGCTCATCCACTTTCTCTTGGAGGAGCATTTCCATATTCTTCAGAATCATCTCCGCCTCTTCGACCCGCTCTTCTGTGGCTTTCAGCTGTTTCTCATGTTCTTCCTGCCATAAAAGAAGGTTGCAGGTGGCCAGGCTCACGCCTGTAATCCCAGCACTTTGGGAGGCCGAGGCAGGAGTTCAAGACTCACCTGGCCAACACGGTGAAACCCCATCTCTACTAAAAAAAAAATACAAAATTTAGCCGGATGTGGTGGTGCATACCTGTAATCCCAGCTACTTGGGAGGCTGAGATAGGGATTCACTTGGACCCAGGAGGTGGAGGTTGCAGTAAGCCAAGATTACACCACTGCACTCCAGCCTGGCAACAGAGTCAGACTCTGTCTCAAAAAACAAAACAAAACAAAAATATGTTCTGGCCCAAACCACACAGCTTTCCTTTCTCTTTGTCGTTCAGGGAGACTCAGCAGACTCATTTGTCCTCAGAGAACTGGTCCTAAGATTTTAACCATAAATAACTCCAAAGTGAGATTTCCTCACTGTGTTACTGTCTTTTTCTAGGAGGATTCTCCTGAACTTTGTCGATAATGTAGCATCACTTAACTTTAGCTTGACCCCTTTGTGTGATGTTACAAGGTTATTCTTCATTAGAATTTACACTTTACAAACATCAAATGTTACCCACTTTTCAAGTCGTGTGCCAATTCCTTTTCCATAAGGGTGTCCCCTGCCCTCTGGCTCCTGATCTCTCCTGAAGTCTGTCCCTGATGAACTATGAACTATGTTGGGAATTTCAGGCGTGAGTTATTCCCTCAGCCTTTTGAATTAAACTCTTGCACAGGGCAAAGCGGTGCCGGGGCCTCTTCAAGTGCTCTAAAAGCGCCAACCCATTGATGCCTCCCGATAAGCCTTGAGGTGGACGCCACTGCCAGCAGGACTTGACAGATGAGAAACTGGGGCACAGAGAGGTTCGCTTGCCCAAGGTCACTCAGCTGAGAGGTGGTGCGCGGGATCCCACCCTCCACAGTCCATGCTCGGAGCCACTGTCTCCCATCGCCCACCACCTGCACGGTCTGTGGCACCTGCTGGGCCTGGTCTGTCACCCTCTGCTCTCTGCCCTCGGCCTCCGGTCCCTGCTCCCCTGGAACATGCCAAGAATCCCCTACCCCAAGGCCTCTGCTGCTCCCCTGCCAAGCCGCTCCCTCACCTCCTTCAGGTCTCACCACCTCAGGGGCCACCTGTGAGGCCTTGTCTGGCCACCCTGTTTAAAACCATGCTGCCCCTCTCCCTACAGCCCTCCTCACCATCTGACATGCTACATACGTGACTCACGTATTCACACTTGGGCAGCTTCTGGGTAACTGAGGACCGCTGGGCCTGCCTCACCCTCCTCCTCATCTTGTCAGCCGCCTCTCGCTGCACCCCCACTCACCCGCTGTGCATCCAGGCGCCTCCCAGCCTGCTCTCCCTGAAGGCTGAGCAGGCGCTGCAGCTCAGCCACACGGTCTCGGGGCACCAGCCGGCTCATCTGTTCCTGCAGCTGCCGGACCTCCTGCGAGTGCTGGGCCTGGGCCTGCCTCAGCCTCAGGTGAGCTCCTTGCACCTGTACGGAAGAGGGGACACAGCTCTGGTGGGGCTGCTGAGACGTGGCACAGAGGGGCACCCTCTCCGTCCAAGGACACCCCCACCTGCAAGGACAAGGAGGGCATGTGCTCCTGAGTATGCAGCAGCACCTGAAGATTTAGAAGGAGCCCGTTTCTTTGGAATTCGGACAGCCAGGCTGCTGTCAGCCAGCGCTTCCACAGGGCTAGAGTGCAGAAAACGTGTCCATCACCCTCAAAACGGTGACGCTGACTTCCTGTCACACTCAGATTCTGCTGCGTCCAGTGTTAGCTTTCAGCGAACCTCACTGGGGCCTGATTCTTTTCAATGACCCACGCCAGTCCTTTCAGCGGAGACCCCACACTCTGAAACAGGGCTACACTGGCCACAAGACTACCCAGACAACACGGACTGCTGAAGGGAAGGTGGGGCCGGGGCTGGAATCCTTGGCAGCGCCTGGTTTCCCGGACGGCACCGTCTGCTGGAGTCGGGCTGAGTTGTTACGGTAAACTGTGCACCACTATGCCAGCCCCTTTAATGAAGCAGCTCGAGGCAAGATCCAAATACAGTTTACATCCAGCCAACTGGAGGCTTCACCAGGATTTCTTTGGCACCCTGTAAGAACCGGCCACGCCACCCCTTACTCACTTGAGACCCCACAGACGGCGTGGGAATCACACTCCATCGGGGTCACGTTTGGGCCGGGCCTGGCATCACCGCACGGTGGAGGAAGAGGGAAGGCAACGCCCTGCGCCCGCACTGCCAGGCCTGGCTTCCCTTCAGTAGTCCCTGCACTGACTCCGCTGAGCTGGGGGCCCGTCTTGGGGAGCCAGGTCATCACTGTAAAGCTCACCCTTCTTCAAGACGGGGGTCACCCCAGAGAGACGCCACCTGCACCCCACATTTTCCAGGCCCTGGGGGGCAGCTTATGGTTTGAGACAGAAAAGGAGGGAAGAACCAGTTCTAAATCGCATCTCTACCAAATGCAGCCTTCTCCCGAAGGCTCATTTCAGACGGTCACTCTGGCTGCTGTCCCCCAGACCTGCGGGACTCCCAGGCGTCAAGCACATCTACCCACCCAGGAAGGCTCTGGCCCGCACCCCGACTCCCTCGGCTCTGATGCTTACAGGTCCTCAGACTGCACCACCCCCCACCGCCATCCTGGGACCGAACCCCCACGAATTAAGCCCTCCATAGCATAGCCTGGGTCCAGCCCAAGGGGGGTCTCTGCCCATGGTGGGCAGCCTGTAAACATCTACTGAACAGACAGCCATCCAGTGCTCTTCATCTCCTTCCTCAGCAACGCGAGACGGGCCACGTCTACAGACCCTGACAGTCACAGGGACAGGGAAAGACGTCCCCAGGGGAGCACTGGAAACAAGGACATTTGTGTTCTGGGTGCTGGAGTGAGGCAGAGCCTCAGACGGGGCATCATCTCCCACCCTGAGTGCAGCCACCCTTCCTGTCCTTCCCGTGGAGAGGGCCCTGTGGGTCCCCGTCCCTTTGCCCTCTGAGCTACCCTGGGAGACCCTCCACCCTCTGAGCTCCTCCATGAGGCCCCATCCCTCCTGTCTGCTCTGGCCTCTGGGGCCTTCCTCCTGAGCCACACATGGGCATGACAGTGACTGCCCTGGCTTCCCTCCCACATGGAAACAGTGACCACATCAGCTTCAGGCCCAGCCTCTTGTGGCCACTCTTAGGGAGCCCCGTCTGCCTTTTCCAGAGTGTCCTGAGCTAGCCTGGAAGCTCCCAGCTTCCTGATGCTGACTGGAAGCCACTTGCTTTGGGGGAGCGTCTTCCTCTAAATCATGAGGAAGAAGGGGTGACCCACATGGCTGCAGGGCAGACTCGGTGAGGTGCTTCCCGACTGAGAGGCTGGTGGCAGGTATGGCCTCAGGGGTGTGGAGTGCTCTCCCTTGGCCCTAGCAGTGCCTCCAGCATCAGGTGCTAAGGAAGTGCCGGCCTTTTCAGGTGGTCTTACTCCTCAGCCTCAAAGGACTCGAACTGGCCCAGGCAATTTTCCAGGGTTCCTTTTAGACTCAAAAGTAGAGAAGGGTGCCCCAAATAGGCAGAGCACCTCTGAGAAACTGACAGACTGTAGCTGCAAGGCCAAGAGCCTATGGGAGCCCCAACAGCACCCCAGAAAGCTCTGAGGTCCGTGCCCAGCTGACCCCTCTGTGTCTCAGGACATCTAGGGGGTGCCTCTGCACACGGTGCCAGGGCCAGCACTGGGGGGGACTGGGTGCAGAGGCTCAGCCAAGCCTCACAGGCAGGCGGGGAGAGACCCTTTCCCACAGCCCCCTTTCCTCTCTGCAGCCCCCAAGCTTCCAAGTGTGCCCTGCACCTGTGTCCACACTGGGCACTCGCCCTCGGGGCACCTTTGGCCGTCACACACCTGCTCTTCTCTCCCTTGAGCCACCCCTCCACAAGCATCCCCTGAGCCGGCTCCCCTCCCTGAGGCCCCTGCTCGGCTGCCCCTGCACACACCTGTCTGTCCCAGACCACGAGCTCCTGCCACCGTAGCCCAGCCTCCCGTGTCTGCACCTCCCGCGCCTCTCACCTGCAGGGCCAGCAGGTGTGGCACCTGGGGCATGTACAGAGGCCAGTGTCATGCATGTCCATGAGTGCCCATTTCACCCCACCCCCAGGGCTGGAGCCTGCTGCCTTGGTTCTGATGACACAGTCCCCAGGCTTGCCTCTGGCTCCTCCATTCTGTGGAGGGCTCACCCAAAGGCATGGTGACCGCACTCCTTCCCTCGGGAGTAAACTGAGTCACCACTCTTCACGGGGCTTGCTCACAGTCAAACCAACTCTGCACTGGGAGCAGCTTTTTCCTGGGCCCAGTAAGCACCTGGACAGCTGTGTCCAGGCCAGCTCAACACCTTCTCTGGGCTGGAGGAGGCCTGGCCACACCGTTGGCACTGTGGTGATGCTGCTCCCGGGTGGGACTGGACGCAGTGCCTCCAGCCACCACTCACACCCACCTGGCCTTGACTTTCTTCAAGGGTCTGGGTCAGCTCTGACTGTGACAGTTGCAGGCTCTGATATTCCTGATTCAGGCATTCAAGTTCAACTTTAAGTTTTTGGATTTGGTCACTCTGTTTTTAAAAAATCAATTGCACAAGTCAAGAAGTATCTGAAGAGTCTGGTATGTAATTCGTGCAGAAACCTCAGAAAATTACAGAAAAGAAAAAAAATTACAAAATTTAAATCCCCATGAACCCACCAACCAAGGCCGGCCCTGTATCCTGCAGCCAATCCCCGGCCCCTCCTCTACACACACGCATCCCCCTGGTGAGACAGTGTTGGGGGCGCTACGCACTGCAGGAAGCGCCTTCTCCTCACCACAGCGGGAACGTTTCCCAGGGCATTAATTGTGATTTGAAAACATGGTTTTCAATGGCTGTGCTGTGATCCAGTGACTCCCTCAGCTTCTGTTGGTGACTCGGCTGATTTCATTTCTGCTTTGCTATTATAAACAGCACAGCAAGGAAAATGCTGCAGCTGCATCCTTCCACAAGGCTCTCGGGAACATCCCCATAGGAATCATGACATCAAGGCATGTGGACTTTCTTCAGCCTCCAAGTGTATATTTTGCCAAACTGCCCTCGGGGAACTTTGCACCAATTCCCTCCTCTGTCAGCAGCATGTAAAGCTATTCTGCTATTTTCTTTAGATACTGGGATTTGCCAACACAGCACCGTCCACCTATTTCTCCAAGGCATGCTTGGGAAGTCCCTCACTTCCCTCCAGGCTCCTTAGCGCCTGTCCTGACCTGTTTGCAGCCGCCTCCGCACCCTGCGGCTCCCAGCCTCCAGCACAGCCCAGGTGGAGCTGCCGGCGGCTGAGGCCACCCACCTGCTGCTGCCCACTGCATGCCACCTCCTCCAGGCTCTGTGTTAACAGCTGAATGGTCACACGATGCTCCTCACTTTGGGCCTGGTGGGTAGAAGCCTCCTGTCCCAGTTGAAGAACCCTGTCATTGAGCTGGGATAATTGATCCTTGTAGTTCTGATTCTAGGGGGAACAAGTTTTTAAATACATAAGAAAAAAATGTTTTTAATTTTTATTTTATATATATATTTGCCCATCATTGGCTATATTTTTATTAAGTAGTTTTTTGCTTTGTTTTGTTTTTCAAGACAGGCCCTCGCTCTGTTGCCCCAGCTGGACTGCGGTGGCACATTCATGGTTCACTGCAGCTGTGACCTCCCAGGCTCAGGCGATCCTCCCACCTCAGCCTCCCAAGTAGCTGGGACCACACGCACACATCACCACTCCCACCTAGTTTTGTTTTTTGGTCAAGACAGGGTCCCTCTGTGTTTCCAAGGCTGGTCCTGAACTCCTAGCCTCAAGGAATCATCCCATCTCAGCCTCCCAAAGTGCTGGGATTACAGGTGTGGGCCACTGAGCCCAGCCCCACCTTGCCCCCTAAAATACTTTTAAGCCAGCAGCTCAATTCATATCATTGTAATTGCTCTCAACCAGGTACAACTTTGCTCCTAAGGAAATGTCTGGCAATGTCTCTAGGTATTTTTGGTGATCACAGCTGGAGATGGAGGAAGCTGCTGGCACCAACAGCATGGGGTACTCGACACCCTACAACGCAGATCATCTGGCCCCAAACATCACCAGTGCCGAGGACAGGAAGCCCTGCTCTGGTCCCTAGGAGAAACACACACACATCTAGGCCAACAGAGCGGAGTAGATGCCATGACCATCCAAACCACTGTTTGGAACACCTTTCACGTTTTTCTCATTTCCTCCATGATTATTTTAATATATTTAAAAATATATGGCAATTTTAACAAAAAAGCAACCTATTTAAACTTGAGGTATATGAATCCCTTAAGTCTCCTCTGATCTCTGTCACTGAACACACAAGCGTAGCTCTTGGCAGGGTACATGGGTTCAACAAATGGTATGTTTTGCTTTTTCTCAATAGCACCCCCCATAGATAGTGGATTTCAGCACACGTTCAGCGGGTGAACCTGTGAGGGCACCGTGCAGTGAAACAGCGGCAGGAAAGCGGCCCTGCAGTCTGGACCACGGAGGCTCTGCTGTCTGCAGTCACCTGTCAGGAACATCTTCATGCAACCACATTTCTACTTGTTTTTTCCCACCGCAGCTCTTGGGGGTTCGGAGCGATGTCCTCTGACCCACTCTCAGCACAATCGACCACGTACACGTCACCTTCCCAGAGTGATGCCAACAACCACTGCCTTTGCTTTTATAGGTTTTACAGGCACATAAGAAAACTGGGACGTTGTTTCCATTTGGATTTACTCAAGATTAGGGAGTTCGGCCGGGCGCGGTGGCTCAAGCCTGTAATCCCAGCACTTTGGGAGGCTGAGACGGGTGGATCACAAGGTCAGGAGATCGAGACCATCCTGGCTAACACGGTGAAACCCTGTCTCTATTAAAAAATACAAAAAAACTAGCCGGGCGAGGTGGCGGGCGCCTGTACTCCCAGCTACTCGGAGGCTGAGGCAGGAGAATGGTGTAAACCCGGGAGGCGGAGCTTGCAGTGAGCTGAGATCCGGCCACTGCACTCCAGCCTGGGCGACAGAGCGAGACTCCGTCTCAAAAAAAAAAAAAAAAAAAAAAGATTAGGGAGTCCACGAATTTTTCTCATGCAATTCCTTGCAAATTAACCTCACCTCATCCCTTCCCTAGAACCTCGAGCCTGAAGTTAAGAGAAGCTTCCACCACAACATAAGCATGTGGCAGTTATGTCTGGTATAGAGCTCATGTGTTCTATTACATTTTATTGTGAAAATTAGAACTGTTTTAATACTGACACACATTCACCTTGCCCTCTAAAGACAGCCTTGATTTCATGAGTAGAAATGGAATCTTCCTTCAGTTCTTGAGATAAACACAAAGTGGATTTTCTTCTATTCACCTTTAACATTTAAACTCTTCATTTGGTGGCTGGGTGTGGTGGCTCATGCCTGTAATCCCAGTGCTTTGGGAGGCCGAAGTGGAAGGATAACCTGAGGTCAGGAGTTTGAGACCAGCCTGGCCAACATGGCGAAACCCCATCTCCACCAAAAATACAAAAATTAGCCGGGCTTGGTAGCGCACACCTGTAATCCCAACTACTTGGGAGGTTGAGGCAGGAGAATTGGTTGAACCTGGGAGGCAGAGGTTGCAGTGAGCTGACATTACACCACTGCACTCCAGCCAGAGTGACAGAACAAGATTCCATCTCAAAACAAACACACACACAAAAAACTCTTCATTTGGAAATAATTTCAGACTTGAACAGTTGCAAGACTAGAACATGACCACGGAAACCCACCTGCCTTCCATCCCGGCTCCTAGCCAACAACAGCCCCCAGAATCTGCTTTGCCCCCCTACACACACAGGCGCACACATGATGTCTTCCCTCCTCCACAGCTGCCTGCCTCCCGGGGACAGCAGCTGTCACACGGCTACTGTGCAGCTACTGCTTCAGGACAGTGGCTTCCATGTCCCCACACTTCATTTTGTCAACGAGCCTGGCAGCATCCTTCCGGGCACAGGATCAGCCGGGCCCTGTCCTGTTGTTTCAGCCTCCTCAAATGTGCAATGTCTCCTCAGCCTCTGTCTCTCATAACTTTGACAGTTTTTGACAAATACAGTTCCATCCCCTCCCATTTGGGGTTTGTCTGGTGCTTCCTTGTGACTCGGGTGACAAGTTCCTGGGCAGATACTGTGCAGGGAGCTGCATCAGGAGGCAGAGATGCTATCTGCTCCTGGTGGCGTTCACGCTGGCCACCTCTTAACTTCGAACTTGCACTCATCTGGCTCTCACTGCAGAAGCCAGCATGAGATGTCAGCAGTTGTCTCCTGGCCGTGTGTTAAAACAAATGACATCTGTGTCAAATATGTTCACTCTGCATCTGCTCCAGCCTTTAGGCCTAATTTCCAGTTTACAAGACAGACAAGTGACATGCGACCAGAGTAGCCTACACTCTCAGAAAACAACTGGACAGATCCAGAACGTGGGATGGCCCATGGGACCACTACCTGGGCTCTTCCAAAAGCCAGTGTCATGGGGAAAAACAGGTCTTCCAGATCAAAACACCAGAGCGACCCTGCAGGGCATGTGTTGTCCAAAGAAGCCTCCAGCAGCTTCTCCCATCCCACGTCCTCTTCTGCAATGTGACCTGAACACTTACCCAGCAGAGAAGCCCCTCTGCAGCTCCAGGGACTCAGTGGGAATAACGTGGAGTGACTTCCGAGGAGGGCCTGGGAACCGTGCCTCCCACCAGCTGCCCTGGAACACTAGCTCCCTGACACCCCCCATGACACTCTCTCCAGGTCCAGCCCCATGAGGAGAGGCCCCAGACGGACATGAGCAGAAGGGGTCCCCAGATGACTCTACCCCTGGCCATTAGGTAACCCCAGCTGTCCAGCCTTCCCAGCTGAGGCTCCCGCATCACAGAGTAGGGACGGCTATGCAGGCTGTTTGTCTGAATGCCTGACCCACAGGTGCCATGAATGCACTCAAGTGGCTGGTTTATGCCAATAAGTTGATCTGACAGCTAAACACGGCTGAACAGAGGCACAGTTACACACAACGTGGCACCCCCAGCTGCATCCTACTGTCAGAAAACTTACTGTACAGGACACTTTTTAATAACTGGAGAAATGAGAATATGGTCTGAATACTGATATGAGGTAACTACTGCTACAGCATTCCTTCAACGTGGCAAGGCAGGAGATGCACTTCCTTTTAAGAGATGCCTGTTGAAATATTGAGGAGTGGAGTATCATGACATTTGGAACTTATTTTCTATTTTTATTATTATTAGAGACAGGGTCTCACTCTGTCACTCAGGCTGGAGTGCAGTGGTATGATCTCCGCTCACTGTAGCCTCAACCTCCCAGGCTCAAGCCATCCTCCCACCTCAGCCTCCCCAGTAGCTGGGACTATAGGTACATGCCAGCACACGCAGCTCATTTTTCTCTTTTTGTGTGGAGATGGGGTTTTGTCATGTTGCCCAGGCTGGTCTGGAACTCCTGGGCTCAAGTGATCTGCCCACCTTAGCCTCCCAAAATGCAGGGATTATAGGTATGAGGCACTGCACTCGGCCTACAACTTATCTTCAAATGGTTCAGAACACACACACACACACACACACACACGCACAAGTGAAATATATAGATATGAACAGAACTAAAGTGCACGCGGCAATGTTGATAACAGTTGCATTAATGTTGTGGTAGGTTGGTATATGGATGATCACTGTATATTGTTTCAACTTTCCTGTGTTTAAAGTTTTTCATGATAAAATTTTTGGGGTAAGCAGGGTACACTGGCTCACACCTGTAATCCCAGCAATTTGGGAGGCCGAGGCCGGCGGATAGCTTGAGGTCAGGAGTTCAAGACCATCCTGGCCAATGTGGTGAAACCCTGTCTCTACTAATAATATAAAAATTAGCCAGGCATGGTGGTACATGTCTGCAATCCCAGCTACCCAGGAGGCTGAAGCAGAAGAATTGCTTGAACCTGGGAGGTGGAGGTTGCAGTGAGCCAAGATCGCACCACTGTACTCTAGCCTGGGTGACAGAGTGATAACGAGTCTCGAAAAAACGAAAAACAAAAAAAACCCCCAAACTTTGGGGAGTGTCCAGGCACAGTGTTTGACACCTATAACCCCAGCACTTTGGGAGGCTGAAGCTAGAGGACTGCTTGAGGCCAGGAGTTTGAGAGCAGCCTTGGCAACATAGTGAGACCCCGTCTCTACTAAAAATACAAAACATGAGCTCAGCATGCTGGCGTGCGGCTCCCCAGGCGGGTCATCTCCACAAGCAGCTGGGCCTTGGGCCAGTGCAGAGCCTCAGGCACTCACAACACAGACAGTGCCTGCCTGCCGGTGTCTGTGAGAAGCTGCTCACAGTTTCTAGATCAAAACACCAAAGGGACCCTGCAGGGGATGCCTGTGGTCCCAACTACTGCGTGCCACATGATTCTGAACATCCTTGGGACCACCAGCAGATCTGACTGGGGCAGGGGTCTTCATAGCCACACTCAGTTCCTGACTTCGATGACGCCTGGGGGCTGGTCAGCAACTCACTCTCAAGTCTTTTAGAAGAATGTTCTCCACTTCCTTTTGTAAGTTTAAAACGCTTTCAAAATAATAAAAAAAAAAGAAGGGTGGCATGAGCTCCATGCCAGGCATCGATACATCACCTGTCTGGTGAGCACCTCCATCTCAGAGCAGGCCTTTTCCTTGTCTTTCTTTAAAACCTCAATTTCCTTCCTGTTGAAGAAGCACAATTAACAGTGATACCACTTGTGACCAACCAGTGCCTTCTTTCCTGGTCAGCACCCAGGGTAAGAGCAGCATGCGGGTTTGCAGCCACAGCACAGACACCCACACCTGCCCCTGGCATTCTCCAGCCCCTCTTGGTCCCTGCTGTTGCCGCTACTAATGATGATGACAATCCCGTCCTCCGTGGTTTATCCCAAACCATGAAGACTTTAGGAACGTGAAACTGTCAGATTACTAGAGAGCCTCTAATAATCTACACTGCCAGCATTGTAAGAATGCAAACCCTGCATGACATTCCTCAATCAAATACATGAATATTTCTTTTGTAAAACATGTAACAGTTCACACTCAGCAGAGTGAACAGAGACTGAAACAGCCTGGCATCTCCGGAGGCATGCCATCAGCGGGGTCCTGACAGACTCAGGAAACCCAGAGAAAAAACAGTTTCTAAAGGAAAACAAGCTTTGAGATTTCAGAAGTGCTGTCATGGAAGGGCAATCCTTGGGTACCTGCTTGGGACTCGCTACTTTAATCACCACGGCAATTCTGTCATTTCAGAATTACTGCCTATGAGAGCTAAGCTCACCTTGAGATGCATACTTGGGGAAAAAAAGGTCAAACAGTTGTCCTTGGATATGGCTACAGTAGTGACAGCAGAAAGCCACTCTCTCCAGAACACACATTCTCTTCAGTCCCCGCCCTTCCCCAGCTGCACTGAGGGGACACTCCTGCTGTGTCCCCTGACTCTCGCTGATGAATGCCCCCTGCTCTGTCCCGCTGACTCTCACTGACGGGCGCCTCCCTGCTCAGTCTCTCGACTCTCACTGATGGGTGGCCCCCGTCCGGTCCCCCAACTCTCACTGGTGGCCTTCCTGCCCTGTAACCCCTGACTCTCACTGGCGGGTGCCCCCTTGCCCTGTCCCCTGACTGACTCTCACTGGTGGGTGCCCCCCTGCCCTGTCCCCTGACTGACTCTCACTGGTGGGTGCCCCCCAGCCCTGTCCCCTGACTGACTCTTACTGGTGGGCGCCCCCTTGCCCTGTCCCCTGACTGACTCTCACTGGTGGGCGCCCCCTTGCCCTGTCCCCTGACTGACTCTCACTGGTGGGCGCCCCCTGCCCTGTCCCCTGACTGACTCTCACTGGTGGGCGCCCCCTTGCCCTGTCCCCTGACTGACTCTCACTGGTGGGCGCCCCCTTGCCCTGTCCCCTGACTGATTCTCACTAGTGGGCGCCCCCTGCTCTGTCCCCCGACTCTCACTAGTGGGCGCCCCCTGCCCTGTCCCCCGACTCTCACTGGTGCCCCACCCCCATCCTCTCTTGCCTCAGTGCTCAGGTTCCTGACCCTCCCCACACACGTCCCCTCCCCCAGCTCTTGTTCACCGAAATTGATAAACCAGCAATGACCCTCCGAGGAAGGCAGAGCTGAAACTGTTATCAGGAGAGGAGCCTAGGAGCACCTCTGACCCCTACAGACACTGTTGTGGCCTCCCCCAACCCCTAAGTGCGACGTGGAGCATCTCCGTGCGGTGAGCAGCGCCCGTGCTGGTGCTGGGGCTCTGCTCGCAGTCCCGACCATGTTGCGGGCGCCCTGCCCCACTTCCCACATCAAGGAGCTGGGGTGTTCAGGTGCCGCCCACATGAGGAAGGAGCCCAGAGCCTCCCACATCTGCCGAGTCGTTCAGAAGTTAACAAGACTCACAGTTTAGGGTTTTCTGGAATGCAGGGCTAATCTGAGAACACTTCCCATGGTCTATATGGAGACTGCATAAGGTCACTCTATGGAGGGCAAAACGCACCCCCAGAAGGTCTGGGTGGGGGCGTGGCCCTTACCTCTGTGCATTGTGAGTGCTTTCTGCAGCTTCAAGCTCTTGCCGAACCCTTCCCAGGTCGTTTTTCAACAAAGCGTTTTCTTCGGAAAGTCTATGGAACTCCAGTCTGCGTTAAAATTGAGGAAAGACCGGTGAGCACCTGGGAAGCCACATGCAGTCACGGAGACTGGCACTGCAGCAGGGAGTCCTGAGAACTGTGCGTCGCCATCTCCCCGTCCCTGCAGGTGGCGCCAGACACCCTTCCTTTCCCTCTACCTGTACCAGGTGTTAAGGTCTTGGATCTCCCATGAGCCAAGCCACAGAAAACCAAGCTCTCTTAGCTTCTAAACTGCCATGCTGTCAAGTCACAAATGCACTCAGAACCTTGGGTTTTGCTTATGCTGAGTTTATAGCTGACCTGCTCCTGCATCTGTGGCCTCTCACCAAACACATGTGTGTCCTGGGTGCCAGTGCTGGGTGTGAGTTCTTAGGTACTGCAGGGTACTCATCCCTGGCAGTGAACCCAGCGTGGAGCTAAGAAACACAGGAATCAGAAGGCCAAGATATACAGGAAACCTTTGCTAGGTGAATCTCAAAGTGGGAAAAGGCAGGGATAGACAGCCGCTACGGGAACCAAGTCTGCCTGGGGCCATCTTTGTTCTCTGACAACTCAGAGAGTCCCTGCTTGGGTAATGCCATTGATTTGACAGAGGAAGATGGCAATTTACCAGTGAAGATCACTAATGGGAGCCAGGTGTGGCATCATGCATCTGTAATCCCAGCTACTGGGGAGGTTGAGGCAGGAGGACTGCTTGAGTCCAGGAGTTTGAGACCCTCCTGGGCAACACAGTGAGACCCTGTCTTTAAAAAAAAAAAAAAAAAGCCGGGCGCGGTGGCTCAAGCCTGTAATCCCAGCACTTTGGGAGGCCGAGACGGGCGGATCACGAGTTCAGGAGATCGAGACCATCCTGGCTAACAGGGTGAAACCCCGTCTCTACTAAAATACAAAAAAAATTAGCCGGGCGAGGTGGCGGGCGCCTGTACTCCCAGCTACTCGGGAGGCTGAGGCAGGAGAATGGCGTGAACCCGGGAGGCGGGGCTTGCAGTGAGCTGAGATCCGGCCACTGCATTCCAGCCTGGGCAACGGAGCCAGACTCGTCTCAAAAAAAAAAAAAAAAAAGATCACCAGTGAAGTAGCTTAAGACCCCTACTTGCAACCCAGAGAATGCATTCTTAATACTGACTGGTAAGGCTAACGTTTATTCCCCAAATAGGTCTCTATACGGTACTAGCTTCTTATTTTTTCAGTCTGAAAATACTGAAAGCCACATGATCTCACCACGTTCACTTCATGTATTTTTTTTTTTTCTTTGAGATGGGATCTCATTCTGTCACCCAGGCTGCAGTACAGTGGCACAATCATCACAATCATGGCTCACTGCAGCCTTGAACTCCTGGGCCCAGGAGCTGGGACTACGGTAGGCATGCGTCACCACACCTGGATAATTTTTGTGGTGGTTGAGATGGGGTCTCGATATGTTGCCCAGGCTGGTCTTGAATTCCTGGTGATCCTCTCACCTCAGCCTCCCAAAGTGCTGGGATCACAGATGTGAGCCACCATGCCTAGCCCGCTTTATGTATTATGCTTATAATAGTAAATTTAAGTTCTTCTTCATATGCCTTCATTTTATCTCATGAGGAACTAAAGACAAAAGTAAATAGAAGTCACTGGAATTAAAAGCAGCAAAAGGTTTCAAGCAGGAGAGTTCTGTGTTTTTAAACTATCACTCTGGCTCCAGAATAGAGAACAAGTTGATGCAAAGCTGAAAGCTGAGGGGTGCCCCACCCCATCCCCTACACGACGGCCAAACAACTAGATCCTGCACAAAGCTGATCGTAACCTCTGTGACTGTCCTCATGAAAAGAAAAGGTAACCTGCAACAAAATCCTGGAAGCTGAAACCAACGCGGTGAGCATTATGCAATACAAAGCTGTGGGGACCCTGCAACCAATGCCTATGTCAGCACTACTATCAGCAGAATGGAGAAGCTGCATTGTGGACACCTGCACCAGCCAGGGCCCTGCAAGGAGGTTCAGATGGTTCCAGATTAGCAGCCTCCCACTTCTCTGCAAAAGCAATAGCATCCCATATAAGGCTCTTGACATTCCCAGAGATTAACATCAAGCAAATATGAGCTCACAATCAAAGATCACCATAACATACATGGAGCAAAGCCACCCATAAAGGACAGCAGAAGCCAGAAGCCAGAATTCAATCCCCTAGAAACTGCAGGTATTGGAATTATTAGACACAAACTAAAAATAAGTGTTATGAAATGTTTACATAAATAAAAGATGGAAACAAACAATGAACAAGCAACAAGAAACTATTGACAATGATCAGATAAGACCAAACAGAATTTTTAGAAATGAAAAGAAAGTCAGTGTCAAAATAAAAACTCATGGAATGGGTTAAATAGCAGATTACACAGAGCTGAAAGAAAGAGATACTGACCTGAAACAAAGAGGTATGTAAAAAATATCCCAAATGTGATACAGACAGAAGACGGAAAATATAAAAGAGAGGTTGAGAAATAAAGTGAAATGCTGTAACATTCATGTATCTAATTGAAGAAAATAGTGGGAGGAGAGGCTATATATACACACACACACACATATATACACACACACATATATATACACACACACACACACACATACACACATACATATATATGCACACACATATATATATATTTTTTGAGACAAGAGTTTTGCTCTTGTTGCCCAGGCTGGAGTGCAGTGGCGCAATCTTGGCTCACCACAACCTCCGGAGAGGCAATATTTTAATAGTGATGGCTGAGAGGTTTTCATGAGATACCAATGCAATCCATACATTCAACAGATAAAATATTTCTTTTCTTTTTTTTTCTTTTGCTCTGCCACCCAGGCTGGAGTGCAGTGGTGCAATCTCAGCTCACTGCAGCTTCAACCTCCCAGGCTCAAGTGATCCTCCCATCTAGCCTCCCAAATAGCTGGGACCACAGGTGCGTGCCACAATGTGTGACTAATTTTTCTTAAGTTTCTGTAGAAACAGTCTCCTTATGTTGCCCAGACTGATCTTGAACTCCTGGGCTCCCAAAGTCCTGGGATCATAGGTGTGAACCACCGTGCCTGGCTGGGACAATATTTTCCAAGTAGAATGAACAAAAAGAAAACTACGCCTATACCCACAATACAACAATCCCATTTCTAGGTACGGCCTAACATAATGCTCCAAAAGACACATGCAAGAACGTTCAGTGCAGTTCCATTTGTGAGAGCCAAAAACTAGGAACTACCCAAATGCCCATCAACAGGAGAAAATAATAAACTGTGGTATGTTCACACAACAGAATACCATATAGCAATGCAAATGTATGAACTACAGCAACAACACAGACGAATCGCACAACCAGGTTGAGCCAAGAAAGTCAGACACAAAAGAGTACACGCTGCATGATTCCTCTCCGTAAAGTAAAAAAACAAGCAAACTGAATCTATGCTGTTAAGAAGTGGTTACCCCTGGGGACTCTGGTGAATTCCATCTCTTGTTCTGGGCGCTGGTAACACACATGTGTTCAATTTGTTGACAGTTCTCCTAATTGTACATATATATGCCTTTTCTTATGTGTATCACACTTTAATAAAAAGTTAAAAAGAGGCTGGACATGGTGGCTCACACCTGTAATCTCAAGGAGGATCCACTTTGGGAGGCTGAGGCCAGAGGATCGCTTGAGGCCAGGAGTTTGAGACCAGTCTGGGCAAAATAGTGAGACTCTATCTCTATAATAAATAAATAAATAAATAAATAAATAAATAAAATAAAATAAAATAAAATAAACAAAAAGTGGCCAGGCGTGGTGGCTCAGGCCTTATGTAATTCCAGTACTTTGGGAGGATGAGGCAGGCAAATCACTTGAGGCCAGGAGTTCAAGACCAGCCTGGCCAACATGGTGAAACCCTGTCTGTAGTAAAAATACACACACACACACACACACACACACAAATCAGCTGGACGTGGTGGTGGGCACCGGTAATCCCAGCTACTTGGGAGGCTGATGCAGGAGAATTGCTTGAACTCAGGAGGCAAAGGTTGCAGTGAGCTGAGATTGTACCACTGCACTCCAGCCTGGGCAACAGAGTGAGACTTCATCTCAAATAAACAAATAAATAAATAAAATAAAAATAAATAAATAAAAATAAAGTTAGAAATGCACAGCAAAGAAAAACCACTAAAGATAAAGGTCTCAGAAGTAGCCAGAGCACAAAAGTCAGATACCTACTGTGGAAGGCACAATACTGGCCTTTAACGGAGACTATGTGACATTACACAGCAGGGGGAATGAAGGCTGCTCATTCTCTGACTGTAGATTACTCTGGATTCTCCAGAGGAACCCAACATAATCATGAGGGTCCTTAGAGGTAGAAAGCGGAGGCAGAAGAGTCAGTGTTGGAGTGAGGTGATGTGAGGAGGACTCGGTCACCTAGGGCTGGCTTCCAGGATGGAAGGATGCCTCAAGCCAAGGCCGCTGGAGAAGGCGAGGCAGGCAGCTCCCTTCGGGGCCTCTGGATGGCCCCGCAGCCCTGCCAGCACTTCACTCCTAGCCCAAGGAGACCCTTTCCTCTTCCAACCTCCAAAACTATAACATTGCGCTTTTGTGCCTTGTTAAGCCACCAAGTCCGTGGAATGAAGAGCAGATGGATCAAGGGCCTTTCACGCAGCATCAGCAACCAGGTCTCTGACACCGAGAGAAGACATTCCAAGGGTAGAAAGGCGGCCCTTTAATGGCTAATCTAGATTTGTGTCCCTAAGAATACTGTCTTACAAAAATGAAAGAACATTTAAGACACTTTTCAGATAAGCAAAAACAGGAAATTTACTACAAACAGAGTTTCACTAAAGGAACTTCTTTTTTCTGAGATGGAATCTCACTCTGTCACCCAGGCTGGAGTGCAGTGGTGTGATCTTGGCTTACTGAAACCTCTGCCTCTTAGGTTCAAGCAATTCTCCTGCCTCAGCTTCCTGAGTAGCTGAGACTACAAGCATATGCCACCATGCCCAGCTAATTTTTGTTTTTTGTTTTTGGAGACAGAGTTTCGCTCTTGTTGCCCAGGCTGGAGTGCAGTGGTGCGATCTCGGCTCACTGCAACCTCCGCCTCCCAGGTTCAAGCGATTCTCCGGCCTCAACCTCCCAAGTAGCTGGGATTACAGGCACATGCCACCACACTAATTTTTGTATTTTTAGTAGAGACGGGGTTTCACCACGTTGGCCAGGCTGGTCTCGAACTTCTGACCTCAGGTGATCTACCCACCTCGGCCTCCCAAAGTGCTGGGATTACAGGTGTGAACCACCACACCCCAGCTGTTACGAAGTTTTAAATTCCTGATTCCTGGTGGTGCATGCCTATAATCCCAGCTACTTAGGAGGCTGAGGCTGGAGAATCGCTTGAACCCGGGAGGCAGAGGTTACAGTGAGCTGAGATAGCACCACTGCACTCCAGCCTGGGCCACAAAGCAAGACTCTGTCTAAAAAAAACAAAAAACAAAAAAACCTCATAACGAAGCCCAGGAGCTGATGGCTTCACTGGTGAATTCTACCACTTAAAGAAGAACTTCTACCACCTCTTCTCAAACTCTTCCAAGAACTGAGCAGAAGGCAACACTTCCAAACTCATTCTATGAGGCATTACTTGATACCAAAGCCAGGCAAGGACACTACAGAACAAAAAAGAAAACTGCAGACCAATCCCTTATGATGCAAAAATTGATGCTAAAATCCTCAACAAAATACTAGCAAAAAGTTATTCTTTAATGGGTATACAGCTTCTGCTGGGAACAATGAAAAAGCTTTGGAAGGGAGGGCTGTGCGCAGTGGCTCACGCCTGTAATCCCAGCACTTTGTGAGGCCAAGGCGGGCTGATCACCTTTGAGGCCAGCCTGGCTAACATGGTGAAACCCCCTCTCTACTACAAGCACAAAAATAGGCCAGGCTTGGTGGCAGGCACCTGTAATCCCAGCTACCTGGGAGGCTGAAGCACAAGAATATCTTGAACCCAGGAAGCGGAGGTTGCAGTGAGCCGAGATCGCGCCACTGCACTCCAGCACCAGCAACAATGCAAGACTCCGTTGTTGGTTTTTTTTTTTTAAAAAAAAAGGCAGCAGGAACTTCCTAACACCAAAGGCGGGACACCAGGGCAGTCACAGCTGCCCCAAAAGGCCGTCCTGCCCTCTCTCTGCGCAATCGTAGAGCACCAGATGACCGTGGGATTCCGGAACGGGGCTGGGCTCACAACTCATACTCAGGCTGAAGGGCTACACAGCCCCCATCAGGGGCTGCGAGCTTGTCGGCAGAAAGGACCATGCAGCACGATTAGCAACAGGGGTCAGTGGGTTAGTTCTGCTTCTTTGGTTTTAAGTTCTTAGTTTTAAGAACAAGTAGAAGCCAAACCTGTCATTCTCTCTCAAATCTACATGTTTCTCCAGAGCCCGGACGACGTCTTCCAGATGTAGAAGTTTGGTTTTCATGTCATCCTTCTCTCTCTCCAGCGCTGTTTTGGTCTCTCCCTCTTCCGGGGCGGCAAGCTGCTCCTGCCTGGAAGCCCGTGGGTCCGCGAGCTGGAGGTGGGATGGCAAGGACCCTCTCCTGGCGACCTCCACGCCGTGCTCCTGGCACGCAGACTCCAGGGCGCCCTCGGCCCGGGCCTGCTCCTCCGAGGCCTGCCCCTGGGTGCCCCTGCTCCAGCTTCGCGCTCGCTCTTCCTGAATGGCCTGTGGCTTCTCAGCCTGTCCCCTGCACGAAGCGGCCGGGCTCAGGGGTGACTCCCACATCCGTGGCTGGGTTTGCGAGGCGTCCCCCTCTGTTCCCAGCAGAGGCAGCTCCCGGGGTCCAGGCTGCTCCAGCCCCACAGGCACACCGAAAAGCTCTGGCTCCTCTGGGACAGTCCCCCCATCCACCCCACAGGGCTGTACGTGTGACCACCTCTCTGAAGGCCCGTGGGATGCCGGGGCAGGGGCGGGGGCCGGGCTCTTCGTGGCTTCTGTGTCCTGGGCTTGCTTGCAGCGAGACCCGGCTCCTGCCGCCTCCTCTGACTCTCCGCCATCGCCTGGGGTCAGCCAGGCCAGTGGCCGCTCCCCATAGCCCGGGCTCAGTGGCAGGAGGCCACGTGCGCCCTCCCGGCCACTTCCTGCCACCAGCCCTTCTTTTGGCAGGGCCCCCAGCATCTCTGCTTCCCGGGAGAGCCCGTCCACTCGCTTCCCACCGGCAAGCTCCAACTCCTCCTTGAGGGCCAACGATGCGCACATCTGGGCGCCCTTCTCGCTCGCACACTCCAAGTTCAGTGCACTCTCCAAGTTCAGCTGCTCCGACCTCCGGCTCCCGCGTGGCAGGGGTCCCTGCAGCGGCTCCTGCAGCTCCAAGGTCAGGTCTCTGCGAGCGGGCAGGGCTCTCAGCCCCAACAGCTCTCCGCCCAGCTCCGCCTGGGCCTCTCTCCTGCAGAAATAGAATCCTCACACACCACAGCCCTGCCTCCCCCAGCCCCTCTCTCGGGTTTGAAAAGTCTGCCCAGCTGTTTCAATGGCTGTGACCTCTTCCCTCTGTGGCTGGCTTTCTTTATCCCTCCTCGCCTCCCTCAGCCCCAGGTTCAACCTATACCCTGGGCCCTACTTAAGAGTCCACAAGAGGATCTGCCCCACGGGGCGAGGTTCTGCACGCGGAAGCCCAAGCACGAACCCTTTCCATGTGGAGTGTTCATATGGAAGATGGCCGCCACCAAGCAGGACCCGGTTGCAGCCCCTCGGCCATGCAGGTCGCGTTCTAAGCCCTCACAAGCTCCCAACTGGACAGGGCAAACATAGGACATGGCCCACACTGCAGTGGGTTCTACAGGATCGCGCTGGAGACCCAGAGCCAAAACTGTCCCCTAAATCCCCAAAGCTGCTGGACCTTGGGACCTCTGGCGGCCCGCAGGAGAGTCCAGTGGAAGTGAAGTGAGGGCCTGCAAGACTACAGCACCAGGAGGGGTATGTGGTCCATGCCTGGCCAGGGCAGGGGGGCAGGGGAGCAAGGAAGTAGTCAGAAGGGGCTCCACCTCCAAGCATTGGCAGATCGGGAGTCCTGCAGAGTGGGGACAGCAGCTCCCCAGGAGCAGGCTGCCAGAGACAGCTAGGCCTGGGGGCCAGGTGCACAATGGCCTGGATGCTGAGAGGAGGGGGGCTGCTCGTGCCTGCCCCTCTGTCCCCATTGGGGTCAGCAGGGACTCTGACCCAGTCTCTTACCACACGCTCTTGGCTTTAAGGGGAAATAGCTGAAAGCCTGGGGAGGCACAGGATGGAAAGATGACTTTTTTTTTTTTTTTTTTGAGACAAGAGTCTCACTTTGTGGCCCAGGCTGGAGTGCAATGGCGAGATCTCAGCTCGCTGCAACCTCTGCCTCCCAAATTCAAGTGATTCTCCTGCTTCAGCCTCCCGAGTAGCTGAGATTACAGGCGCCTGCTACCATGCTCAGCTAATTTTTTGTGTTTTTAGTAGAGACAGGGTTTCACCATGTTGGCCAGGCTGGTCTCAAACTCCTGAGCTCAAGCGATTTACCCGCTTTGGCCTCCCAAACTGCTACGATTACAGGTGTGAGCCCCTGTGTCCGGCCGGAAAGATGACTTTCTATCTGTCAGGCTGGGGGTGGCCCGGTCAGTGTGGTGGGAGGGCCCATCCTCTTCTAAGCCAGGGCCAGTGCTCTCCACAGGACAGTGGGTGCCAGCTGAGCAGCAGCCTGTGTGCGATGACCAGGCACTTCCTCTCCTACCTCACATGCCCCCAACAAGAACAGACGCGGTCACTTCACATGTAGCCCACACCAGAACACACAAAACACCAGTGCAGGCTTTCTGTAAGCCTTCTCTCTCGCTTGCACACCTGAGCCTTTTTGGGACTCTCACTAACCCCAGCTGGCCATCTTTCCCATTGTTCAGGGCTTCAGGCCTTTTCCCATTTCCCCACATGCTACCCTGCCTGGCCCTGGAGAAGTGGGCAGCTCTGAGCAAGGGAGGCGATGCTCCTGCCAGGCACGGCTGAGGCAGAGGGTACAGAGCACTGGGCTGTTTCTACACAGTGAACGGCTTCACGGCCCATGCTCCAATGTATATTTTAAATTTAGAGCCAGAATCCTCGTGCCAGGACCTGTTCTTTTGGCACTCACCCATCTGCCCAGAGGAAAACCACCCAGTCAAGAGGCACAGCAATTCTGAGTTGTTTCCTAAGTCTAATTTCAAATTTTGGTTCTTGGCAAGAAACCCCAGACTTGAAATCTCGAAAGAAGCCAGCCGGACCTGATCTGCCGCAGGTGGCTCTGATGCCGCAGGGCCAGGCCACACAGTGCCTGGGTGCAGCAGGGCGCCAGGCCCATCCGCTCAGGCTCGGGGTCGTGGGCTGTGTCCTGCAGCTGCTCCTGCAGGCCCCAGATGACCTCCTGAGACTTCTTGTGGAGCTCCTCCAGGTCAGCCTTCTGACCCTCCAGCACGCTGACCTCACGCCTGCGAGCCTGCTCCATGTCCTTCCTCTCCTTCTCAAAGTTCCTTTTCAGTGCCGCAATTTCCCTTTCGTAGTGATTTACCTAAAACGAGAAACAGGAGCCCCATGGACCAGGAGGCCCTAAAAATGATCTGGCTGCTGACACAACACAGAAACACGAAGCCGTCTGGCACAATGTGCAAAGACCGGCATCCTGGCCCGCTGAGGTGCCAGGGTGTGCTGAAGGGGACAGTGACATGAATGCTGGTGGTGCTCCCCAGGGCCTAGTGAGGTGCGAGTCACCTATTCCCCCTGAGGCAGGGCGGCAGGCAGGGACAGGAAGCTCAGGGCTCACTAGAGTATCCGGCCGAGCACTGCAAGGGACGCAGAGGGTGACTCTGAACAGTGTGGAGACTCTCAGTGGAAGGAATACCATCCAACCATGGGTGGGCAGGGCTCATCGGAGCTTCCAGTTAATCCTTCAGGGATCCCCAGGGCATGGCCGCAGGCTGCTCCACCTAGCTGCCACTCAGACGGAGGAACTGGACACATGACAAGTCGTGGACACTGTCCCTCAAAAGCCACCACAGTCTAGGAACAGGGCTAAGTTCATCCTGACAGCTTCATCCAGGATGACCCTGGCCTCAAAGCCACTGAGCTACCTAGGGGGCAAATGCCAGGTCGCTCAGGCTGGGAGCACAGCCAGTAACTGATTCCCACCCGCAGACCGGCAAGGAGGGCTGGCCACGGCGCTGCCTCAAGTGTCCCCTTGTGACACTCCAGAGCATCACACCATTCCCTTCCCATCAGTTATCCTATGTCCTGTGTCCTTCCAAAGAGGGTTCGGGCAGCATGTCAGTTTTATTTGCATTTCCCTACAAACTTACCTCCTGACAGGGGCTCACAATGAGACAAAGGATTCTGGGGCAGACACACGTGGAAATGTCAGTGTGGCCAAGTAAAGCTGCCCGACACACAGCAGCTGCTCCCAAGGGCCCCACAGCCCCACAGCCCCACGCTCACCTTGGTCTCCAGCTGGGTCCCGAGGTCTTGGTAATGCTCCTTCACCTGCTCCATCATCAGCTCCGTTTCTATACTCACTGGAACAGAATTACCCAGGAATGAAATGCCTGCAAACAAGAGGACACTTCCGTTTGTCACACTGAGGATGCCACGGGGGTCCCTTCTAAACCTTCCAATCTGATATTTGGGCAGCATCCATGAGGGGCAGGCGGTGCTAGCCGTGAGGATGACACTGCGTCCTGAAAGTCAGCACTCCTCAGTACGCAGCATTCGGTTATTTACCACAACACTCAGAGATGAGAATAGGTAGCTCCCCACATCATTCACAGGAGCCCCTTCAGTCTCTAAAATACGCTGCGCTGTGGTACATTTACTGCACCCTAAATCCTGTTTGCTGAAGATGTCAGGGTCACGGAGGAAATGGAAGGATGGAGTGGGCTATGGCACAGCAGATCCCCGGTGGTGCAGAGCTTTAGATGATGTGCAGATGACCAGAGCGCTGTGCACAGAGATTATCTATCTATTTAGATAACCTTTTCTTGGTGGCCCTATGTTATTATTTAATCACACAAAAATGATGCCAGGTTCTGAGAGGCAAGTCTGGCACACTAACCCCTGCTGGAATTAGCGCTCTGAGGCTGATGGGCAGGGAGGTGTGATGGCCAGCGGCGTCCAGGTGGGACATCAATGGGGCTACGGACCCACAGTCACCACCCTGGGTGCAGGCAATCCTGGATATGTGTTTCCGGGATGGGTGGCTGGCAGGGTCTTGCTCCTCCCTGCAGCTTCCTGAGAGTCTGCCAGCTGTCGGGGCTGCGCCTTGGGAGCCTGACTCCAATCCAGGAGCCAGCAAGGGAGGGGATGCCTTAGGGGTCCCAGGAGGTCGGTCTCACATGCACAATAGCCCCCACTAGGCTCCCCTAGGAGGTTCCCATATTGCCCATTTTTAAAATTTTATTGAGTAAACAGTTTCAGGGCAAAAGGAGAACTCTGAAGTTCTCCCAGGGTTACAGATGGCAGCAAAATCTTCTCTGAGGGGCTGAGGTTCCCATGACGGGGGAGCGAGGAAAGCAGCTGGGACTGCTGGGTCCCCATGGGCTCCTGTCATAGCAGTGGACACGGAGCCACGTGCATTGAATGCTGCTATTGGGTGGGCAGAGGCCACCCCATCCTCCAAAAGGAGCACTGCAGACCTCAAGGGCGGCTGCAGCACCTGGACCCCCATTCTCTCTGCAGAGGAGCCAGAGACACTTCGATGTGGGTTCTGGGGCCTCTGGGTCCGTGGAGTTTGTCCCAATCCCATTGGCTGGGAGCACAGGGGCACTCGGTCAGGTGGGGCCACTCCCCTTGGTGCCTGGTGCCTCCCTGCCTCGCTCAGACTTGGGGGGTGGCGCCAGCTACCACATCACACAGAAGCAGCAAGGGTAAGCCTGACAGCCTCCGTCTGAATAGGCCTGAGTACTGGGAGGCCCCAGCACATTCACCGGGATTTAGCTCTTCAGTCTCAGCAAATACCGTGTCACTGAAACAGCTCTCAGATGTGGGAAGAGCTTGGACCAGACCTGGGGCTGCCCAACCTCAGCCTCCCTTCCTCCTCCCTCTCCAGGTGACCTTCCGTGTTGCAAGGTCACCCTGTGGCATCACTGGATCCTCCCTGGAAAGACCCTGCAGAGCAGACCACCTCCCTTCAGGTCACAGCAACATCATCATCTTCATCATCTCCACTCTCCTTTCCTGGCTCTGGGCCTCGGTGTCAACAGCAGGCCTTGGGTCACCCCCTTCCAGGGACGCGCTCCTACCTGCTGGGCCAAGTCCAGAGAGCTGCCGTGTGCACCCACCCGGGCTCCATGAGGGGCTGTGCTGGTTCTTGGGCAGCCGTGCCCACAGGCCTTCCAGCTCAGCTTGCAGCTCATCGTTGCGGTCCTGCAGGTCCTGCGGGGACAGAGCCAGACACCTCCTCTAGCAGCTGCAGCTATTCAGCCCAGTGAGATGGCTGAGCTGGCCTCCAGGAGGGTCCCCTGCAGGTGAGGTGCACTGTGAGGTGACAGCCTGTTGCTTCCCAGCTTCCAGCAGGAAACCATCTGGATTTTAAGTTGCTAACGACATGGTGAGATAAGCCAAAACAAAGGTCCTTTCTTGACTTTCTCTGCCCTACATCACTTTTAAAAACTTCAATTTTTACTGTATTTATTTAGAGACAGAATCTTGCTCTGTTCCTCAGGCTGGAGTGCACTGGTGCAATCTCAGCTCACTTCAGCCTCCTCCTACCAGGTTCAAGTGATTCTCCTGCCTCAGCCTCCCAAGTAGCTGGGATTACAGGTGTGTGCCACTACGCCTGGTTAATTAATTTATTTATTTTTGTGTTTTTAGTAGAGATAGGGTTTCACCATGTTGGTCAGGTTGGTCTCAAACTCCTGGCCTCAAGCGATATGCCCGCCTCAGCCTCCCAAAGTGCTGGGATTACAGGCGTAAGCCACCATGCCCGGCCCTTACATCACTTTCTATCACTGGATATACGGGAGGTACCCAAAGAAAAAAGCAAGGCGGCTACTGGGGAGAAATGTAGAAAATGCAGAGTACGGCTGGGCACGGTGGCTCACATCTATAATCCCAGCACTTTGGGAGGCTGAGGTCGGTAGATCACGAGGTCAAGAGATCGAGACCATCCTGACCAACATGGCGAAACCCCGTTCTCTACTAAAAATACAAAAATTAGCCGGGTGTGGTGGCGGGTGCCTGTAGTCCCAGCTACTCGGGAGGCTGAGGCAGAAGAATGGCTTTAACTGCGCGAGGTTATAGTTGCCAGTGAGCCCGAGATCGTGCCACTGCACTCCAGCCTGGTGACACGAGCGAGACTCTGTCTCAAAAAAAAGAGAAAAGAAATGCAGAGTACTGTCACCCACAGAAGCTACAGTCTTGTTGGAACCGCAGTGGTGCTGCAGTGTGCATGTTGCATGTCAGCAGTGCCCTGGGTAAGGGTAGGATTCCTTCCTCAGGGCTGCTGAATTTGCAAAGGGTTCTGCCAGCTTTAACCACCAAAGAAGAACCATTTGCTTCAGATCATATGCCGCAAAGCAGAGAAGAACATGTCAGAAAGAAAGGATGATGTTGGTAAGCAGACACTGGAGCAAGTGGAGGCCGCGTGGGCGACGGGAAGGCTAGGACACCGTGGCAGCGTGATGCTAAATCCAGGGAAAATTCTGATGAAGGCAGGATATTTGCACGGTCTTAGAGTGTCTCCTCCGCTGACTGTGTATTATTAATAGTTGCAAGAAAAAATGGTGATTACAGAGCGAGAAACAGGTGACACCTCGGTTAAGAGATCAGAAGCAACACCAGCGAGCGGGGCACATCACCACCACGTGCTGTGCCAGTCGAAGACGCACAGCCTCAGGGCTGTGAACAGGAAACATCAGAAACGCACAAAATGAGAACGTTGCTATGAAAAAGTGAGGAGGACAACATTCTTCAAAAATACTCAATGTCATAAGACAAAGAAAGGAAATGAGTCAGAGGTAAAGGACATTAAAGAAACACCTGGCCTCGGGTGGACGCACTGAAGGAAGCGGACCGCGGCCAGCAGGTAATATGTTGCTTCGATGGCAGTTCATGAAGCTAGCAAGCATGCCTCAGTCATGGAGAAAATATTCAGTCGGGTGTTGGAAAACTTACTCTCCAGGAATAAAAGCCCTCACTTGTGGCTTTTACAAATTTCTGTGGTTTAAAGCCTGTGTCAATTTGAAGCCTACCAAAGGCTTAATAAGCCAACCTGCAAATCCTTGAACTCTGCATGATCATCTGTAGCAGCAGGAAGCTGCACAGCACTGCCAGCAGAACAGGAGGAAGCGTTTCTTTTTTTTTTTCTTTCTTTTTTTTTTTTTTTTTGAGACGGAGTCTGGCTCTGTCACCCAGGCTGGAGTGCAGTGGCGCGATCTCGGCTCACTGCAAGCTCCGCCTCCCGGGTTTACGCCATTCTCCTGCCTCAGCCTCCCGAGTAGCTGGGACTACAGGCGCCCGCCACCTCACCCGGCAGTTTCTTTTGTATTTTTTAGTAGAGACGGGGTTTCACCGTATTAGGCAGGCTGGTCTTGATCTCCTGACCTCGTGATCCACCCGCCTCGGCCTCCCAAAGTGCTGGGATTACAGGCGTGAGCCACCGCGCCCGGCAGAGGAAGCATTTCTTAGGAAGTACACACAAGCACTGGGCCGTAAAGGGTCAGGATGTGCGTATCTGACCCTCGGATGCTAAATCATGATGTTTAGTATCTTTATGGGTACTTATACACTTTTTTCTTATTAGGTAATGTATTCATATTTGGAGAGAGTTTTCATATATTCTGGATCCAAGTCTTTTATCAGATAAATACATAATTCACAAACATTTACTCCCATTTGTGTCTTTTGATCAATGGGTCTTTTTATTAAATCAAACATTATTATTGTAAAAATCTATTATCAACTAGGCTTTAGAAGGTATAGTAAATAAAACTTGGATGTCGTGAAGATCACAGTGTTTTCTCCTTTTCTCAGTGGATTCTCCAGTGTTTTGTCCAGGGCCAGGTGCTGCCTTCAGTTGTCCTGTTCCTTTAACGTCCTTGACTCTGAAACATTCCCACAGCCTTTCTTTGTCTTTTATGACATTGATAATTTTGAAGAACACTGTTCTTCCTGCCCATTTTTCATAGAAATGGTCTCATGTTGGGGTTTGCTGATGTTTCCTTTGGATTACTTGAGGCTGTGGTTCAGAAATAATGATGTCTACATGTTCACACCCACACCAACAAGCCAGTGAGCAGGTATGCGAAGGCAGAGCCAACGGGGTGAAGTGTGAACAGGTGCATGTGGGTAAAAGGTACACAGACAGGTGTTCTGTGCACTAGTTTTGTTTGTAACTATGAAAGTTTGAAATTGTTTTCATATAAAAAGTTTTTAAATGTTCTAAATGTTAGTTTGAAACAGACAAAAAATATCCAAAAAAAGGAAAGGGGAAATAGCTGAATAAATAGGTTAGCATTTAAATATAAAATATCTCTGCTGTTTCAAAAAATAAAATTGAAAGAACCCCAGATGAAAAGAATAGCATGTCTTTAAGTAACAGAATCACATTAAAGAAAGAAGAGTTTTACATTTGAAAAATCCAGGGCACTAAAGGAACCTATTAACGGCAGGTTATCTCTAGGTTCTGAGTCTGCTCCAGCAGCTACAAGAGGAGGAAGCCGGCAGCCCACATGCAGCTGCAGTCCTAGCAGTGCACTGTCTAGACCCCATCTGCACGGCAGGCCCCACCCACCCCACACACACCAGTCGAGGCAGAGGGAAGGTGACGCCGCTCACCACACGCAGGATTCTCAAAAGGAGAATGAGACGTGCAGGGAATGATGGCAGGGTGCCCAGATGGAGGCAAACCACAGACAGGAAGGGGGAAGCACAGCCACTGAGAACGCAAGCTCGGGCTCACCTCGATCCTCTGGGGTTGCAAAGCAACGTGTGGCAGGACAAAGTCAGGGTCACTTTACATGGGAGGGAGATCATTCACAGTGAATCGAGAACAGACCCTTAAAATCGAACAACAATGCTTTATCTGGTTCTCTGACTATAGGGCAGCCCATGACTTACCAGCTTCACAGACGTATTTTCTCCATAATACCTGCTCAAATTTCAAATTTCACATCGATTGCTCACTTAACAATGACCATCACAGTATCCCCAGAAACAATCACAGATTTTCGGCATGGGGTGATGTGGCCTTAAGATTCACACATGGCAAGAATGAGCTGTAACTAAAACCAGTTGTGCTGTGGCATCACCACCCAAGGTAACTACAGATTATCTACCGGGTAAAATTAAGTCAGTTTCAGATCATCACCTGTTCATATAGTTATAAACTATGGTTGCCCAACTTGAAAATTTTTATTAAAATTATCATTAAAGCTAACTTGCAGGAGAAATGAATGAGTGAACAGTAAGCAAGCTCTACTGATACCTTCAGATATTTTTCTCATTTTTGCTGGGTGGGGGGAGCGGATTATACAGGGTCTTAAATGGCTGTTATTTGTGGATGCAGGTGACTTATCTCTGTTCACCTGGCAATGCCGCCTGGAGAGAATTCCATGCCTAAAATCATCCGCTTCCATGTTATTTTCAAGCCTATACAGGGTTCTGTTAGAACAACAGTCATAACATGCCCAGCCATTCCTGATGCTGAGCGCTTGGCTGGGTTCAGTGCCTACTGTTACAACTCGTTTGGACCTAACCCTCTGTATGCCAGGATGTAAGAGGGGCAGCTGGGTCAACGACTGGGGTTTTGACAGTGAAAAAAATGTTTCTGTGTAAGTTTTGCATAAATTAACTTTTGGTAAATTAAAACCTAACAAGGAGTTGCCTATGAAAGAACCATGTGGTGAATGACTAGAGATAAAGTAACTTTTCTGTATTGTTAATGATCAACCCAACTCAACTCTAGTTTGTTTTCTTCTACACAAAATTTTCTTCAAGAGGATAGGTCCTGTGGGGTGAGACCCACGGGGAGCTGGCTGGGCCAGCCATCGTGTCATCTGCGAGGCGGCCTTCAAGGCACTGGAACCAGGCTTTCCTCACAGAACCATTCTTGCAGATCTAGGGAAACACCTGAGCTTTAAAACATTCCACGGTCTCTGCATGCTCAGGTGAGCAGGGAGGGAAAGAAATGGAGGCTTTGGAATGCCCCAGAACCTGGCAGCTTGCATTCAAAATGTGCCAAGGAGGGTGGTGGTCCAACTGCAGGCTCTGAACCTGAACAATCAGTCACTCTGTGTCCGACAGAACCAGAAACACAGGCTGTGAGGGTGGACGTCCAGGCCTCCCAGCAGCCCACACGTGGCCCAGCGGGGCAGATGAATGTGTGGCACGTTGAGGTGTGAAGTGACTTCTTTGTGCTCATTCTCTTTTTTTGTGGGGGGAAGGAGTCGCTCTGTCGCCCAGGCTGGAGTGCAGTGGCGCGATCTTGGCTCACTGCAATCTCTGCCTCTTGGGTTCAAGTAATTCTCCTGCCTCAGCCTCCTGAGTAGCTGGGACTACAGGCATGCACCACCACACCTAGCTAATTTTTGTATTTTTAGTAGAGATGGGGTTTCACCATCTTGGCCAGGCTGGTCTTGAACTCCTGACCTTGTGAGCCACCGCTTCCGGCCTCCTTGTGCTCGTTCTCTTTCGGGGCACATGGCAGTTCCAGATGCTCTGCGTCATGTGATATCACGAGGGACTGACGCAGCAGCAGGTTTGAGCATCCCGTCCTCTGTTGGGCTGGCCAGTGAGGAGGCTGGCAAGAATGCAACACCACAGCACATGCCTGGCTAGTTTGTCTTTCTTTTGGAAAACAGCTATGTTCCCCAAAATAGGCTATTTATGCTAACCTATCATTACATTATTATTCTTAAATAAATTAATAAATTTTAAAAATTTCCACTTTAATTTTTACCATGGTAAATATTAAATTTAATACACATAACCTACATCAACAAAAGCTCTTTGGGGTCCTTGAGAACATTAAGGGTGTACGCGGGTCCTCCTGGGTTTAAGATTCATTCACCGCGTCCACTGCGCCCTGCACTCCTGTGTCTCCAACTGACAAACGGACACGCGTGGCAGGTTTGGCCCAGGAAAGCTAAACATGAACAACAGAAGACGACAATGCCCTGCATGGTGCCTGGACACACAGAGGTGGCCTTCAGGATAGGTGGCAATGAGAACCAGGGAACCCTAAGTCTAGGAGTGTGGCAAGGCCATGGTCGAGAACGGCCGCAAGCAGAGGCTCTCCCTGGAGCAGACACTCCTGCGTTCCTGTGAACCACCTGCGAGTGGAGACCCAGAGCCTGGACATGAGACTATAAGGCAGACAGAGCGGGGCACGTACCCGGCACTTGAGCTCGTATTCCTTCAGGACTGCTGCGAACCGCTCCTCCTGGGCCAGGAGCTCTGCACTCTGTGGCTCCAGCTGAAAGTCAGACACGCAGGAAGTCACAGGTGGGCCTCAGACAGAGGGGGGACCTGCTTCTCCAGCCCCTGGGCTCCAAGAACCTGCCCAGCTTCTGCCAACACCAGACGCTGCATCTCCAGGTACAGCCGCCATCCCCCCTCCTTCTCCCTACTCCCCCGTCTAGAAGGTCACAAGGCAGAAGGATTTTCCAGATTTATCTAAGGTGGCCACACTCATCCCTGGAGCCCAGACCCTGGCCCTGGGCAGCTCCTCTCCCCGTCCTCCTCCTGAGGTGACAGCCAGGGAGGGCCCTGTTCTCCCTCCACGCCCCCCACCACTGAAGCTGTCGCTAGTGAGCAGTTGTGCTGCGCGGGCAGACAGCCCCCCACATCGTCACGCAGAGGAAGCAGAGGGAAGGCCTCACGCTGACTTTCTCTTCATTCAAAATTTTAGGAGAATACCGAATTCCGTTACCTGCTGCATCTCTCCCCCGCCACCCCCGCCACCCCCACTCTGCCCAGCAGGCCCTTCCCTCTGGAGGCGCACTGTCAGCAAAGGGACGCACCTTGTCCTTCAGCACAAACTCCAGGTCCTTCTGCAGCTTCAGGGCCAGCCTCTCTGAATCTGAAAGCTTTTCTGCCACTTCCACAATCTCCTTCTGTAGGCGACTGTTTTCCTAGGAGACACAGGCCAGTGGCTCGTCAGGCTCCTGCAGGACGGAGGGGATGTGTGCAGGATGTAGGTGAGAGGCTTGCTCCCCACAACACTGGGCATCAGGAAAGAACCCCCACCCGCCGCTCGCGAGGCAGCTGGTGCTGTGCAGGCGGCTGTGCCGGGGATGGCCCCCAGCCTCCCAGGACAGACCCCAGAGCCCACCCAGACTGTGGCTACCCCATCGTCTTCACTTCTCTTGTCCCCTCCCTTACTCTGTGCTCAGAAAGGCCATGAGTCATACAAGAAAGGGTGGGGAGCTGGGTGCAGTGGCTCACGCCTGTAATCCCAGCACTTTGGGAGGCCGAGGCGGGCAGATCACAAGGTCAGGAAATCAAGACCATCCTGGCTAACATGGTGAAACCCCGACTCTACTAAAAATACAAAAAATTAGCCAGGCATGGTGGCGGGAGCCTGTAGTCCCTGCTACTCAGGAGGCTGAGGCAGGAGAATGGTGTGAACCTGGGAGGCGGAGCTTGCAGTGAGTGGAGATCGTGCCACTGCACTCTAGCCTGGGCGACAGAGCGAGACTCCATCTCCAAAAAAAAAAAAAAAAAAAAAAAAGAAAGGGTGGGGAATACAAAAGCATTGCAAAAGTATTACAGAAAAGGCATCCTTTCAGAGCCATACCTAAACCATCGATCTGATATTGCACCAGGACAGCTCAGACGGCCATCACTGGGGGAGGAGGCAGCATCTGCAGACGGTGGGGGACTGTGGTGAGAAGGGTGGAGAGCAAGGCTGTTTGGGGGCTCAGGCTGCTCAGTCCCTCCTTCCGGGAGGTGGGGCAGGTGTGGGGAGTTAGGAGAGGAGGACACAGGTGGGAGCAGAGCAGGAACCAGCACAGGAAGGGCCAGCACCTCTGTCCCACTGCAATGCCTCACTGGAGTCAACGTCCGGCGACAGGTGTGAGACACTCACCAAAGCCCATCAAACCCTATCAGCTCCAGGCCACAAACCCAGCCTCAGGCAGGCTGGGCTTTAGGTTCTGGTCGCTTTGCTGCCCCCACAGGTGTTCCTGGTTTCTGGGGTTGAAGCACTGCTGGCTGCAGGTGCTGGTCCTCCTTGACCTCAGGTCCACCTGGCCCAGGGCAGAGAGTGGGAGTGGCGGGGAAGGAGGGGCAACGTCCTGCTGGCAAGCCAGGACCCCTTCTGCTCTGCAGCGTGTGGGACACCTCCTCACTGTGGCAGGTGCTCCCTCAGGCCCTGCCCTGAAACATAAGCTTGAGGGCACTGGCAGGTATGATCTGGATCCTCAGCCAGGATGACGTAGGTATGGGGAACGCTCAGGCTCCCCCCAGATTCTTGGATACCCTGGGGATGCCCCTACCTTCAGGGCCAGGGTCAGCTTCTCCCGGAGGCCAGCCTCCTCAGCCTGCAGGCGCCCCACGTCCCACTCTAGCGCGGCCCTCTGCCTGTGGGCCTGCTCCCAGAACAGCTCTCGCTCTGCCTCCACCTCAGACCGCAGGAGGCTCAGCCTTTCCCGGTACCCCTGCTCCAGATGCCTGTAACATGTCACACATCACACGTCAGACATGTCATCTCAGGGCCACCCAGGCCCACGTCACCACCTTCCTAGCCTCCTCCCTCTCAGAAATGCCCCTGTCCTCAGCACGTGCAGGACCGTCCTGCCTTGGCTGAGCTGCCCATGCTGGGAGGCAAATCTGAGGGTTGGTGCTCCTCCCTCATGGGCTGGTGGAGGTGACCCCAGACAAGGGGATCTGGTGGGTCACATGGCAAATGCCACCAGCTGCCCCCTCACAGTGAGGAGCACAGCTCCCTGGGCTGAGTCCCAAGGTGGCCCCTCCACCCAGTGTGCATGGCAGGCAACAGCCCTTTAAAGACTTTTGATACCAAATGCACATGAAAATCGCCTCCCTCCCAAAGAGGGAGGCAGCATGAAACCCATGGGCAGTGAATTCCCAAAGCAATCCGAGGAAGAGGTGGGGGGTACTTTTTTCTCAGATGCTACATTCATCTTTTGCAATAACCACTTCCATTAGCAGGAAAAACAGTGTTCAACGCTCAGTCTCATCTCTGAAACAGCAGTTTCACAGGAATTCTCAGACCATGTCTACCGAGACTGAAGACCAGTGAGGCTCCGATTCTGCAGAAGCCTGGTGATGCCCATAACCAAGTCCGAGACACCTGGGCCCCAGAGCCCAGGATTTTAATCTTGGCTCAGAACTTTAAAGAAACAACACTCTAAAGGGAAGAGTATGAAGGAAGTACAATAATCTGAGTAATATAATACGCCACAAATCTTTTGGGGTAGTGTTAAAGCTACATCAGCCTACTCTTTAAAAACTTTTGAAATATACAAAAATGGGGAAATGGTCAAATAAATTACAGCAGATCCACACAAAGACCCATGTGAGATGCTCTGTGGCCATCAGAAAAGCATATACAACATGATATCATTTTTTTTTTTTTTTTTTTGACGGAGTCTCACTCTGTCGCCCAGGCTGGAGTGCAGTGACGCAATTGCCGCTCACTGTAAGCTCCACCACCCGGGTTTACGCCATTCTCCTGCCTCAGCCTCCCGAGTAGCTGGGACTACAGGCGCCGGCCACCACGCCCGGCTAAATTTTTGTATTTTTTGGTAGAGATGGGGTTTCACCATGTTAGCCAGGATGGTCTCGATCTCCTGACCTCATGATCTGCCCGCCTCGGCCTCCCAAAGTGCTGGAATTACAGGCGTGAGCCACCGCGCCCGGCCACAACATGGTATCATTTTTTAAGAATTATGTGCATAGAAAAAAAAGGTGAAAGACATAGAAAATGTAAACAGTGATACCCCCTGGAAAGTGAGATTTCTGGGTTTATTTTTCCTTTAATTGTATTTTCTAAAATGTGTGCAATAAACATATATCACTCATTACGTTTATAATAAGGAAAACCTAATGCAATAATAAAAGCTACTTACAGAAACCTACTCATAACTCCCATTGCTCATAGGACAAAACCCAAGCTCTCAGGGCCACGTGGGTTCTGAGGCTGCAGCTTAGCACCTCTAATGCATCCCTTCACCAGGTTCAAGGACAGAGGTGCTGCCTTAGTGTTTCCAATCCTCTAACCCTGGGAAAGACAATTCACACAAGTCTTTCCAAATGGTTGGGAGAGAATCAAGCTATACATGTGTGGACAGAAGCAAATCAGTTTTCAGTTACTCAAACTGAGTATGAAAGTCAACTTACTTCTAGCTTTGAACACAAGTGTCTCACAAGGAGCACCCTTGTCTAGGAGCTCTGCTAACCCCCAGGCTGGGATGAGGCTGTGCTCAGGAGACAGAGGTTGCTGGAGGTCAGAGCCCAGCCCCTCAGGTCCTGAGAGGCAGCACCAAGATCCCTGTGGCACCAACAGGGATAGCTGGATCCCGACACTCAGGATGAAAGTGAGAGACAGACGAACCAAGCTTACAACAGCCGTCAGGAGAAAGGAGGGGGCGTCCAGGGAGAGGAAATGAGTTCCTAGAGCTCCCCGTGGGTCTCCATGACATACTTTCAGCTCCTAAATGTTAGCAATTGTCTCCTCTGTGGAGATCCAAACTGGACTCATGTGCGCCCTGGAAGGCAGGGAGCTATGAGAACGTCTTAAGCAACAAAGCCAAGGTCACCTCCCCTGGGGGTCGGGGGCATCTTTTGGTCCCTCCTCTAGGAATTTCTCAGCCAGTTGGGAACGATGACGCTGCAAGGCTGACCCAGAATAGCTCAGCTGACGGAGACCACAGAGACTCTTCCTGCCCACAGGAGCAGGGATATACCGCTTCCTAATGATATGCCTTCCACGCTCAGGGCAGGGAACTCGGGCCTTGAGGCCTGGCCCAGCTCTTCCACGTGGAGGGCAAGGGCCCCAACCACTGCCTGTACCTGTCCCTGTACCCAGTTTTTGGCCTCACCAGACACCTCCTCATGTTTGGTGAAAGGAGACTTAACTTTTAGATTCCCTGAAAATGATCACTGTCCTATAGGGGCTTCTCACCACCACCACAGCCACAGGAGCCAGTGGCACCAAGAATGTACACTCCAGGGGGCCCGCAGGCCGCAGAGGCCTCATGCACTCACACAGCACCCCCCACTGCACCCCACACACACAGCACCCCCACTGCACCCCACAGGCCCCACACACACTCACAGCACCCACATGGCACCACACAGTTCCCACATATACTTAGCACCCCCACTGCACCCCACAGGCTCCACACATGCACACAGTACTCTCCACTGCACCCCTCTAGCCCCAGACACTCACAGTACCCCCACTGCACCCCACAGGCCCTAAGCACGCTCAAAGCACCCACATGGCAGCATACGGGCCCCACATACACTCACAACACCCCCAGTGCACCCCATGGGCCCCACGCACACTCACAGCACCCCCAGTGCACCCCATGGGCCCCACGCACTCGCACTGCACCACCGCTGCACCCCACATACCTGAGGCCCCATGCATGCTCACAGCACCCTCATTGCACCCCACATGCCCTTGCACTCCACAGGCCCCACGCACTCACACTAACTCCTCACACCATGTAGAGGCACATGTAGATCTGGACCTGCTGTGTACGGCCGTCCCCAGCCAGCACTGGAAGGAAAGAGGACTTGGGAGGTGCAGGCGAACAGAGGTGGGGTGAGGCCCCGCCCTGTCCCAGATGCCCCTATGGACTGAACCACATGGAGGTGGCGGCTGCAGGAGGTGCAGCAGGGACGCCCTTCTGCCCAGAACAGATCCGTGGAAACCCTGAGGATATGGGTTATGGAGATGGGGGGTCCACTGGTCTTAGAGCTGGCCCTGGACTGTGCCTGGCTCTGGGAGGCCTGAAGGAGAGTGGCTGGGCTCTGCCCTCAAGCTTCTCCCACCTGAGATTCTTGTTCCCCAGAAAGCTGACCAGTGGCCTTCGGCTGTCCCAGAAACAGTGTAAGGCCAGGAGAAGGGAGACCTGGGTGTCAGCTTCACACACCCATG